ATCTCTAAAATTAATAAAATTAACTAATAAATATTAAATAAAATTTTTCAAAAATTAAAAAATTATTGAACAAGCTTCAGAAAGAACACGAATTAAGTGTATAATAAAAATTTATTGAGTTATTTGAAAAAACCTTTTTAACAATTTTTAGCTTTGTTTGAATTTTTTCAAAATCCTTATCTGAAGCAGTATTTTTTGTTGTGTTCGGTAAATCTTCCACTGCAGAATCATCTCATAGTTTAAATCACCGAATTGGTAATCGAGGTTACTTAATACTTTGAATTTGCATAAAATAGTAAACAATTTGATCACCAAGAAATACGAGTATTTGCTAATTTATTAGTTTACATTATGATCCTACTTGTGTAAAATTATCTAATATTTTTCATTTTTTACACTCAGATTACAGATTAAAATTTAATTTCCGAGTATAATAGATGTGTGTAACAGTTGTCATTGTCTACATCACAATGTGAAAAGACCTCAATGTGATGCAACTCTTCTAACCTTGCCCGAAACGACTATCAAAACTTTTTGTTAAAACTTAGTTACCTGCGAGTTATGTAACTTTTGGATTATCATTGCCATGCAAGGTAACCTGGTGTTTTATATTTCAAAAATGGAGATATTTAATCATTGACAAAAAAAATCACAATTAAAATTCTTGAGTTCAAACCTTGGCCATGAGTAAATTTAGCTATAAATAGTGTGATTGCTTAAAACGCGTTTGGTTATTTCAAGTCTAAAGTAAACATTTCCGGTAGATCCACATTTTCTGAAATCAAAACTGCACAAATCATTTATTTAAAATTTAAATTTCAGGTTTTAATTCTAAAGAAGCTGTTTTGTTTTATTTACACACTTTAAATAATTTTTTGAAACTATTTTTGACTAGTAAAAGTCAAAAATTGCAGAAAACAAAATTTGGTTTTGATGAATAGAAAAGTCAATAAAAAATCATATAGATTACAGGTAAGTATTAATTAATCAAAAATGAATAAAAATCAAACAATTAAGAAATAAAGTCAATCAAGAAGTAATGATAATTGAAGTCATTATTCACTTCGTTGCATCATTGTTCATAAGATAATGAAATTTGATCAAATTTATTGGTTTATTATGACTAACTACTGAAAATATGCAATAGACAATTTTATTATTCTATTGTTTAACAATATTTATTGCATCTGTCGTAGCCCTGAACGTTAATATTGACATACTAGACAGTAAAATATTGTCTTACTGATCGGTTTGCGTGTTTTCCATACTTGGTCTAATCGTTGTGCATAATTTAGTTTTATTGCTAATAAGAATCTGACATTTTACTTACTTCAATGAGTGATACAAAATGAGTTTTTTTCAAAAAACTGAAAACTTTTTTAGTACACCCTGTTGATGCATGTTTCATCGTAATGCATGACTAACAATCCACGATTTCTGTAACAGCAGGTGCGCTAATTAGCATAAAATATTAAATTGGCCATTATTCATATCCAATTATTTTTACTACAATCTTCTTATCCACCAACAGATCTTATCCAAGAACATGTAAATACTTGCAATAAAAATTGTCACGGTTGTAGCGACCCATTTAACATAATGCTTTTAGCTTATTATTTACCTCGATTTAAATCATTTGTGGATAAAACGGCCTTGAACTAATTCAATCATGTCTGGATTATGTTATAAGCTGTAATCAAGCTTCAACTGTTGGAATTTCTGACTTTTAATATTTGTTGTGATGAAAATCAGTTACGTTAACACGAGAGTGGGATGTTTTTCGATTTTATCAATGAAACTATGAAGTCACTGAAACAAATACGCTTGTTTGAAGAGCTATCGTGTTACGCTAACACATTTTACATAATCCGAATTTTTGCTTATTATTCCTAAAAAATACAAAACCCGCTTACATTAATAATAATTTTTGTATTTTTTGGAAACCACATGATTAGCCTCCTTCACCTACTATTAAATTCGCATTTGCCTTTTGCTAGAAAACCTCTTGAAGGTGCCCCAGAGCAAATTGTGCGTGAAAAGTCTATGAATGATCTTGCGGAAGTACAAACCTGATTATTACCGACTGACACGCCTTCCTAACTAAGAAATTCAACAGACATCTCGTTATGTTTACATGCAAGAACTACGAGATCTGATGATCAGAGTGCAAAACAAGCAATGGACATTCGATGTCTGTAAATGTTTCGATTTCTGCGAAGAATCACAATTAGAATGTTGTCTTGTTAATGCGGAAAATGTCTCGGCGTAAAAAGTTGTGATTTACGGCGAAATCTTGATTTAGTAGAGGAAAAATGCTCGGAATGTAATTTTTTTACGAATAAAGTTGGAAATTTATACACAAAGAGCGAATCCAAAGCTTTGTTTTTGCATAATAGTGTTCGATGGAAAGCAATGTTATTAATAAAATGTAATATTATTTTTGAAAACTTGTCACCAAAATAAAAAACTTTTGTTTTGATTTWTTTTTATAATTTAGTACTTGATTCACATATACATATTACCTACAATTATTAAATTGGCAACAACAAAAAATAATGCAAAAACAGGATTTTTTTAATTTCTTATTTTCAATTACATTTTTCAAAAATTTATGGATTTTCATAACATTTTACAAGAATAAACAAAACAAATAAATTAGCAACCAGACACAAAAATAAGAGTTAATAAAGATAAGCAATCATTCGTTTTCGATAAACATAATCAAATAACTATTCGTTAACGAACTTTTAGTTTCACACAATATTTCATTGAACTTCTCAAGTTTTGTTTCTAGGTAAACCACATCTTACCATTCCTCGGCCCAACAAAGATTAACATATTGGGCAAAAAAGGATTAATTAAAATTACTCAAATAATTCAAACAGTCATTGGAAAAATTTTAAATCCATATACAAAAATTCTTCTAAAAATACGTTCACTTTGTTAATTTGAATTGCAAATAACGCATTCTTGGTTTTATTTACTACATTGTGTAATCATAGGTTAAAGATTCACATCACGTGACAAAAAACTTAGTAGTCCCGCCAAAATATTGACCTCTCACTATAAAACTTAATTATTTGTTTAAAAATAATGTCCCAAGTCTATTAAGGCACGAGACGCGTACATTTATTTTCATTGAGCAATTTTGATATAGCACAATCACCAATAATGTGAATAGCCTTGTCTAGAAATTAAAATAGCACTAGAAAAATCGTGCAAATCGTCAGAATAGTTTAATTTTCGAAAAAAATTGTTACCGATTTTGATTTTTTGTCTTAAAATCACTAAATCAAAATTCACACGGTTCACAACACAACAGCACTTTTTCTCAACTCGCGATACATCCGTCAGTTGCCCTCACTTGCCGGTGACTGACAACAATATCTTCTCGACTCTGTTCGAGGCTATATTTTAATTAACAATTAGGATTGTTAAATGGATATTATCATAATATTTGAAAATGATAATAAGGCATTGCAATTTAGAAAACTTGAGGTGTTGCCACATACCTTGAAAACACTATAAAGGTCAGTGATAGACTGTTTAACTTTGAATACTTTGATATTCGAGTAAATGTAATCAAATAACAATTTTAATAAAAATAATTACTGACAATAAAGATATGTGCAACGAAGATTGTAAGTCATTTTTATTACTAGAATTTGTTTAATTGCAATAAAAAAATCTTTTCAGTTTCTGATAACATTATTTGATGAAGTTTTTTAAATTAATTGTTATTATTCTTATTTTTTAGGCATTTTAGAATTTGTTAAATTAAACAATTGATAATTTTTTTTAGAAAACAAGATTTTTATAGCAACTGGAAAATAAGATCGTTGATAGTTTTAATTTTTTTTTAGCTTTGACATTGTGTGCAATTAATAATTTTATGATGATTTTACCACTTAATAGCCTGATTTTTGTCCGTTAAGAAATAAAGGAAATCATCACGCATTTCTGTTAAATTCCGGCGCGGGCATTACTGCATTCATGTACTGTTCTAGTTTTCACATTCAAATCATAATTCAAATGCTAAACTATCTATTAGAATTCGCGCAATTACGGTCTGAACGGCTTAATTATATGCAGATAAGACATTAACATATAAAAGGTAATCATACGTTGCCAAAAGAAAACTATTAGATGTGAAGTCACTTAAAAATCCAGCGTTGCTAATACCATTCTTACTTTTTGTTCTGAAGCGGAAATAATTAGACATGTAATCGAAGAAAATAGTGATAGAGTTGGATGCTTCAGTTTGCTTATTACGTTGATAAAATTACAAGGTTATAAGTATGAATAGTTTTTTTTATACTATGTTCGTGTATTTGCTGTGTTACTGAATTTATTTAAATAATCCTAATTACTAATTTAAAACTAATCATTAGTTGATTTTGAAAATTGTAAAAATTTATAGAAATTTAGAATGTTTTTAAGTATACTTGCGCCACCTATGGAGCAAAAATCATCTTTTAAATCGTGCTTAATAGAGTTCTGTTTTTGTAAGTATAAATATTCGAATTTTAGAGACGTAATTAAATGTATAATTTTTTGCCAAATATATTTTTTTATCTTGTGGTAAAAATTTATTGCTTGTGTTTTCCTACATTTTTCAACATTTTTTTATTCTGCAATAAATACAAAAGCCAAAATATTACTACATAAAAACATTAATAATAAAATAAGTAAATCACATTTTTTAGTTTTCCAAATTTACATTTTTTAATGATTTAACTTTATGGTAAAGCTTTCTATCTGCCTTTATCTTTGTGCTGTATATTTGGTTGCCTATACTAACACTTAGTATTCTAAAGTTGGTAAAACATTGACTAAGACATGGAGAAATAAATAATACTCTATTCATTTCTCTATGCTTTACACTTTAGACTCAAAACCGAAAAAAAAAACATTTTTTTTAATTTACAAAAGTAATGAACAAAAACACGATTAACCCGTCACACCAAACTTTTATTTAAAACACAAAGTGGTCATCCTCAGGTGAGAATAAAACCAGAAGAGGAAACAAGGAAGCTGTATCATAAATTCTAAGTGTTATTTGTGGCTTTTATTAGCAAATTTTTTCTAGCTTTACTAAATAATTATAAAAAAAAAACATATACAAGATTATCAGTATCATTAAATAGACATAAAAAAATGTCAAATGGCAAAAAATAAATGTCAAAATTTTTTGGCAGGTAGAATTACATTTTTTTATGTTTTTCGTTTCTTTTTCTGGGGCGCGAGTTCTGGCTCACCTGTATATTCATATAATTAAAAAAAAAACAATTTTTGTTTTTTTTTTAGATCTCTTGAACTACATTTAGATCAATTTTTATATTTTTTTTTTTAGATTTTCGTTAAAATTATGTTCAATTTTCCGTACCCAGAAAGGTATGCTAATAACTCCGGAATTAGTGGTGTTAGCTCTTTATATCCAAAATATAAATTTATTTTCATATAAATTCTAAACTATTGCGAATTTTGGAATTTTTTTGACGTTAATTGATTCCCCTGAATATTTTACATAGACGTAGTTCAATACATTTTCACTATACTTTAGCTGAAATTTACAAAATGAAAAAGTACACATTTTTACTTTAAATAATAAATATACCGCTTAATACTTATTTTTTTTATTGTATTGATTGTTATGTTTTTTTTTTATTTTTAAATAACCTTTACAATAATGGTGGTAATGAAAAAATAAGTAAATATTTTCACAAAAGTTTTCATTGTTTGGTTAAAAATTTCACAATTTTTTTAAGCTTGCAAATAAATGCTAGAAAACATGATTTTTCAATGATTTTGGAAAATATATTATATTTTGTCTCTTCTAAAACGTTCTTATATGTTCATTACGAGGACCCGGATCTGACGCAGAAATATTTTAATTTGTTGTGCAACTTAATTAACTTATTTAATTAAAAATAAACTTATAAAATTACGACATTGTTCAAATAAGCTGCCAAAATTCTCTTCATTTATTAATCCAATTTTGCTTTCTGTCCCATTACATAAAATTCAAATTAGCGGCACATTCTCTTCTCTTCGACACAATTTCGCTTTTATTGCCTCATCAAAATATAAGAGTCATAAATAACGACGTTTAGCAAACGCAAAAACCAAGAATTTCCTACGTTGCACCGGTAGTTCCGGTCCCGTATATCCAGTTGAAAGCATCAATTTCCCTTGACATGTATTAAAATTCCGATCCCACTTCTGGTTTAATCATAGCCAAGTGGTCACCCTAACTAATAAATGTTCAAACAGTATAATGTGCTAGGGAGGAGTTTAATAAAAGTGAATAAAGACACGGGGTCGTCCTTTTCGGAACAAACGATGACTTTTAATATCTCCTCCTTGCACGTGTGCCCAAAATTGCAAAAATGAAAAATTGTGATTACATTTATGAAAAATTTGTTAAATCGAGAAAGAAAATAGTAGGTTCCGGGAACTCCGGTTAAGTGGCTGTCGAAATTACACGCACTCTTGATGTTCAATACTCTGAAGGGAAGCGAGTTGCCGGGAGGGCTATCATTGCAATTTATATCAGATTAGGGTGAAGTACTGAATAATACAGAAGCCCTCGACGTTGCCGTCAACCCCTCGTACTAATATATTTGACAAATAGATATGTGTTATTAGTTTGTGAACCCTATGATGCTTGGCACACGTTCCAATAACTCGCAAAGAGACTATAAAGGTTAAGATGCAATTTTGATTATTTTATTGGAATATTTGAATGGGGGAATTGTTCACGAATATTTTGTATTGTGTGTGGATGCGCTTTATCAAAGATCTGCTTCCCTGTGTTCCAGAAACGTGAAAAAAATCAAAGAAATAATAGATTTGTTTTGGTAAAGCCCATAAAGCAGTGTGTTAACCTGCCGTCGTTTATGCAAATATTCAGCAGATGGTCGTCCGCATACCACCTTCACACAATTTCCATATACGTTAAAGAGGCATGAAGTAGCGCGGAATGTCGGTCCGAACCTAGATAATCCGACAAAATTAGTAGTATTAGGCATTTTAAGAATTGGTTTAACAACAAGGCCACCCACAGTGTTCCGTTCGCTTTCGTCAAACCATTTCCTTATCTTTATAGCTCGTACGGGACCTTAAAGAACAGATAACTTTAATATACTGGATGGGCACTTTTTTCGGTTTTAATTTGAACCGTCGCTGCTGTTTCCCACTCGTTTATGACCATCGCACGACACACAAATAGCCCTCATTTCAGAAAACACTAACGAGACGTTTTTATATATTTGAGATGGTTTTACTTGCCACCGACTCTTTACCTGAAATGACCAAATTCTGCACAAAAAATAACATTGGATAGTGTTTGGATGGAATTTTAAATAAAAAAACTAAGAAGAAGCAAGAAATATTGAAGCTTTGAAGTTAAGTTGTCAAAATTGAAAGATATAGAAATCGAAGATACATACAGGGTGAATATAACGTATGGAACCAAGCTGTTTTATTTTTAATCATTTGCCTCCAGAAAATAATAATTAATATAAATTAAAATAATATAAAAAATGTGATCGTATTTTGAGAACGAAATTTTGTTTTGTTTTTTAGTTATGCGATTTTTTTTGGTCAAAATTGCAATTTATGTGAAAAAAGTTTTTTGAAAAAATTAAATATAAAGCATGGAGTTGCAATCCTTAGAGTATAGCTTTTATGAAAAAAATGATTTTATAGTGGGTTGCCATTTAAAAAAATATTTTTTTTTGTAGAACTCAAAAACAAAAGGAAATTTTGAACAATTTTATTCTTGTTAAATCATTACATTTTTATAGTACTTTATCACTCATCAATTAGTTTCTTCAAAAAATAAATAGTTTAAGCAAAAAACGTTTGGTTTCATACTTTTTACGAAAAAAATAATTAGTGTGCGTAAAGTACAATTAAAATGTGACCATTTATCTAGAATAACATTTTTCGAAATTTCTTTTAGTTTTCGAGTTTTGGATAACAATATTTTTTTTAAATGGCAACCTACCATAATAATTTTTTTAATTAAAGATTATTATCTAAAAATGACCTCTAATTTAATAAAATCGTTTTTTAACCAGTACTTTTTTTTTAATAAATTGTTAAAGTTGCGTTCCGAGCTCATCACGAAGATTTTTCAAATTTAACCGAAGGTTTGGTCTTTGGAGAACCCCAAAAAATTCAATTAGAACTTATTTTCTTTTTTTTTTAGTCAATTCGAAACCACCTCAAGTATCTGCATAAAAATCAAAGCTCTCCCATGATCAAGTGCATGTTCTGAAAATCTCGGAACGCAACTTTAACAATTGATTTAAAAAAAAGTACTAAAAAAAATTATCATGGCTGGTTGCCATTATAAAAAAAAAAAATTTTAAACTCGAAAAC